AAAACATCCAAATGGAAAGAGTCACAAATTGCATAGCACCCTATAGAATCATGTCATCTTTACTGAAGTCTGCCTTACAAGATCCACAGAATAAACTTAGAGTTGAAGCTTCAGATACAAAATGACTGGTATGCTTTAGCTGTTCCAATTTCTTTTAATACTCAATCAGGGAGCTGATAAGTGGAACAGCCTTTTCCTACTCTTATTAGGCAGAATTTTATTGTCAAGATAGCATTTTCAAGGTCAAATTTTATCCTGTTTTCAAGGTTAGATTTGATAAATTCACTCCAAATGAAAAACATCTACAATCTAAATGTCAAAAATGCCATCTAAATGCAAGGAAAAACATCTAAATCTGGATGTTAAACATCCAAAGTGGCAACACTGGACCAGACCACACTCAGATATATTGTACCCAGTAAAGCTTACTCAGAAAGGCATGCTTTATTCAGCAGTTCAGAGGTCTCCATTAGCGTCCTTGTGGAATATGCCATCTAAATGCAAGGGAAAACATCTAAATCTGGATGTTAAACATCCAAAGTGGCAACACTGGACCAGACCACATTCAGATATATTGTGCCCAGTAAGCTTACTGAGAAAGGCACGCTCTATTCAGCAGTTCAGAGGTCTCCATTAGCGTCCTTGTGGAATATCTCCCCCCCCCCTCCTCCCCCACCCTTTCCTGAGGTTAGGGGAGTGTTGGGAAACAAACAAGTGGACATAGTGGGTGGTGCTGCACCACTGGATGGTTAACTGATGCATTATAAGCATGTGGTTAAGGCCCTTAAGGAAAAACAAAATAATGCGGAAGAATGAATTACGGTGTAGAGAGAAGGGTAACCAGGAGATTTGGTTGACACTCTACACTCAGAGAAAAGGAAAGACTGACATACAGTTAAATTACTACTGGTACCATCAACACTTCTTTATGGAGCAAAATGCTGGAGAATGACCATAAAGGATGCACACAAGCTGTCCACCTTCCACCACACATGTCTACGTAGAATTATCATAATTTTTTGGCCAGATACAATCTCAAAAACTAAACTACTTCAAGTCACAAACCAAGAAACTTTACACAGTATGATAACCGAGAGAAGATGGAAATGGCTTGGCCACGTTATGAGAATGAATCCTGAAATACCTGCCAAAACAGCTCTCACATGGATACCAGAGGGAAAGAGAAAAAAGGGGTGCCAAAAACAATATGGAGACGAACAATGGAAAGTGACCTGAGTGCGGCATCTTTGCCATGGAAAACTGCACTGAAGATTGCACAGGACAGGAAAGCATGGAAAGTCGTCTCTGAAGCCTCATGTGCCACTAGACATAACGAGAACTGATGACCATCAACACTGGAACTCTCTGCTGGCTGCTGAAGATGAGGTGCTTGTGGAATGTCCTGAGTCCTGTGCTATTGGTTATTAACCCTTCACCCCGTGAATGCTAAAAATGGGAGTCTTAAAACCGTAGAAATTCTCACACTCACACACAAATCCTGTGTTTTGTTTTTTCTCTAACCATTTTACCCGGGCCACTAATAATTGTGTTTTTTAAATTTATCTACATTTAAAAACAAAAAATATTTATATATATAAAGGGAGTAATCAAGTGACGTGAACAGAGTGAAACCATTAAATGGAACACATTTATTAGGCCTAAAATAAATATATAACCTCTATCATTAAGGCTTACAGGAACATTTTACATTAACCTGGCTTTAAGAAGCCATTGGGTTCACAAGGAAATCTCCCTAAATGCAATTTTTAGTTAATATATTAATATCTGGGCCTCTTAAAATACAGCGCAGGTACACCCAGAACCAATGGCATTTAATTATGTTTTTCGAGAACAGGGAATGTGTCAGCTCAAAGTAGCTACATTTAGTCTTCACAGTATTAAAAATTTAGTTGCGTGTCCTTTACAGGACGTTGCAGAACCAACCCTAACAGCCCCTGGCTGTTGTTTGGTTTCTCTAGGCAATTTACATCCAGTAGTTTGCCATTGCTTTCTGGACGGTCGGCTTTCTTGATACCACTGTCGAAACCAACGCAAGGCGCATTGTCCACAGCTGGGATCGAACCTGGCATCCCGGCATTACGAAGCGAAGCGTTCGCATCGACTTAGCCACAGAGCCGACCTTCACAGTATAACAGGGTTAAATATTCTGATAAGCTCTTCATCCCCATCTTCAGCAGCAGGTAGAGACTTCAAATTCTAATAGTACCAGCAACTGTCTGATAGTGTGTCCATCTCATCTTTTCATTAAGTGTTGCCCAGACCACTCCCTACAACGTGATTCTCTTCAGATCATTTCTTAAAACCTATTTACACCTCTGCACTGTTCACTGTTCACTCCCACGCTCAACACTCAAGGGAAAGGTGAGATAGATGTACAACCAGACATTGACTGGTACCATCCGAATTGGAACTCTTTGCTTGCTGCTGAAGATGGGGATGGAGCGCTTTTGGGAGTGTCCCAAGAGCTGTGATGTTAATTCTTAAACATTCAACTCCCAAAGAAACCTTACAACATCTAGCTAGTCATATCATCTTTCAAATCTTTGTGTCTGTTTTCTGTCACAATCATCATTCATTAAATTAACTTATATTTATTAATGGAAGCAGAAATTTAAAAAAACAAAACACTATAATTTTTTTTTAAATGGCATCAACAATAAATTATTTTCCTGCAACAGTTTTAACAAATTTACATTACTGTGTTTTTTAATGATCGAGTCCGGTATCTTTTATTTATTTTTTCATGTTGTCCACCATACATATTTATATAATTACCATATGCATAAACTCTTTCTGTAGCAGGTTTCACAAGAGATACCAACGTAAACATAAAAACCACAATGAAATATCGTGAAATCGTTACTTCAAATATGGCAAATTACAAAACTGTAGTGACCATTTGGGTAGGTCTGATTGCCTGAGTTCAGGCCTACTCAACTTAGTATACCCAGGAGCCAAAATTTTGAAAATGGGGATTGTTACGGGCTAGTGACCCGAGCCCAAACATAGAAAGCTCATTAACACAATACAACTGGCAATGATCCGCAGGTCAAATGCTAGGGGCTGCGGGCCAAATCTGGCCTGCAGGCTGGCTGCCTTTGTACATCCTGACCAAATATTTTTTTTTTTAAATGTGAAAGCACAATATGTTCTGGAGAGAAATTAATGGGTAGATTCATTTCAACATCAGGTGACACTTAGAATTAAAAGAGTTAATGCCAACAGAAATAAAAAGCATTGGAATATTACCATCAACAAACGAAACCCCCTGAGAACATTCTCTGAACATACATAAAATGCAATATTAAAAGTATACAGGAGCAGCTGGCCAAGGGATTAAAGTGCTGGCCTTTCTTGTGGAAGACTTGTGTTTGAATCCTCGGTAAGGTGACAAAAATTATTTGTGTATGTGTCAGGGCAAACACAAACATTCTAATCTGTACAGTTTTTGGTGACTGCACTAGCCATGAGGCCCTAAATCTGTAGTAGACAACTTTTTTTGGGCCCGCGGGCCAAATTAAGAATTACCTACCTGATTGCATGCCTATAGTAAAAATCCATTATAAACACCCATATTTCGTCGTAACATGATATTTTTGTGAGATAATCCAAGATTATAATGCCTTGCCATGCCGCTGGCTAGACAGACTCACTCACCAAAGCTCTTCTATATATTCCTAAATGTGTCTGTTCAAGCTGGTTATGAGCAGAAATCATATTATCGAGGGAAAGTGGCTCTTGTTACCATGGTTTAGGTTCTAACTTTTGTTTTTTTGGATGTTGATATTTGGATTTTTCCTTCTGTATTTTTTGTGTTCAGCTATTTCGTGAGGTGTCGTGGTGTAGCGGCTAGATGCTCGCCTGCAGATCGGAAGTTCGCAGGTCGTGGTTCAGGTCCTGATGGTACCAGAATTTTTCAAAAATGACCTTGGCACCTGAGAGGTAAAGAACCAAGTGTCTGCATACAAATGTGCCAGATGTATGAAATGGATGTGTACGTAATACTCTGATTCTGGAGCAAGACTTAACTCTTTGAGTCCCAGGGGGTTTAGCATCACAGGCCCAGGGGGTAGTTAATAGAGTCATAACATCTGCGCATCATGCGTTCATTGGGCTTCTAGGTAGGAACCTATAAACGTAGGATGCGTTCCTTGGGACTCAAAGAGTTAAGACCGGAGGTGGACAAATAACCAGAACCTTCCACCGGAGTTAACAGCCAGTGAACAAGAAGAAAAAGACAACTGACATTCACCACATACGAGATCATGGTCTGTGCTGGACACTTTTCCTTCAAATGACCCTTGAACACATTCATGGAAAATTCAATAGGAAAAAATTACAATGTGTAAATAAAATTAACAAAAACAGGCAACTCTCAAATGAAAATAAACTCGTTCTCTATGATCAGTCCAAAACTGGGAATATTATCATATTTTCCTGTGTATAAAATTATGTTTTTCTACGGCCTTTCCCAAGTAAAAAATTATGTTTTTCTACGGCCTTTCACAAGTATAAAATTGTTTTCCTACGGCCTTTCCCAAGTATAAAATTATGTTTCTCTACGGCCTTTCCCAAGTATAAAATTATGTTTTTCTACGGCCTTTCCCAAGTATAAAATTATGTTTTTCTACGGCCTTTACCAAGTATAATATTATGTTTTTCTGCAGCTTAAAAAATATAAATACCACTTGACTCATGCCATGACCTGTGACGTCTATCACTGAGCTTTAAAAAAAAATTGTAAGTTTAGATTTGGGGGGGGGGGGAGGGGGGGGGATGACGTCTTATATACCTCAAATGTTTAAAATATTTATTTCTTAATCATAGGCTAACCAAAAAAACAAAGGGGGAGGGGGGTGTTTTATACATGGTGGCGGCGTCTTATACGCAGAAAAATACAGTAAGTCAGGTTACTCGCTTGAAGAATTTGTAAGGTGTGTACACTAAACACTTTGTAAACAGCAACACTTCATAAACACTCAGCTGCTAGATCCCAACTCTTTGGCTCGGAGGGTAGCAGCTTCCACAGCATCGATCAGTGCCCCACGGAAGCCATTCTTCTCCAGAGCATACACTGCCGCAATCGTTGTTCCTCCTGGAGAGCAGACTTCATCCTTCAGCTGCCCTGGGTGTTTGCCTGTCTCTAGAACCATCTTTGCTGCGCCCTGAAGTCAAGAATGTAATTTCTAACAGACATTGCAGCTAATAATTTAGTTATTAAACAAATGAGAAAGACAAGAATACAATTACCTAACAAACACAGATGATAAAAATATAATCTAACAGAGACACCAGAGCAAACAATAACAGTATCTTATAGACACTAACGCTAATAATTTTATTATCTAACAGAAACAAGCTAAGAATGTAATTTTCTATTAGACAGTGAAACAAACAATAATCTCGTCTAGGAGACACTGAATCTAATAATTTAATCATTTAACAGACACTGAATCTAATAATTTAATCATTTAACAGACACTGAATCTAATAATTTAATCATTTAACAGACACTGAAGCTAATAATTTAATCATTTAACAGACACTGAATCTAATTATTTAACAGACACTGAATCTAATTATTTAATTATTTAACAGATACTGAATCTAATAATTTAATTATTTAACAGACACTGAAGCTAATAATTTAATTATTTAACAGACACTGAATCTAATAATTTAATTATTTAACAGACACTGAAGCTAATAATTTAATTATTTAACAGACACTGAATCTAATAATTTAATTATTTAACAGATACTGAATCTAATAATTTAATTATTTAACAGACACTGAATCTAATAATTAAATTATTTAACAGATACTGAATCTAATAATTTAATTATTTAACAGACACTGAAGCTAATAATTAAATTATTTAACAGACACTGAATTTAATCATTTAACAGACACTGAATCTAATTATTTAATTATTTAACAGACACTGAATCTAATTATTTAATTATTTAACAGACACTGAATCTAATTATTTAATTATTTAACAGACACTGAAGCTAATAATTAAATTATTTAACAGACACTGAAGCTAATTATTTAATTATTTAACAGACACTGAATCTAATTATTTAATTATTTAACAGACACTGAATCTAATTATTTAATTATTTAACAGACACTGAAGCTAATAATTAAATTATTTAACAGACACTGAATCTAATTATTTAATTATTTAACAGACACTGAATCTAATTATTTAATTATTTAACAGACACTGAATCTAATTATTTAATTATTTAACAGACACTGAATCTAATTATTTAATTATCTAAAAAACACCGAATCTAATAATTTAATTATCTAACAGACATTTAATCTAATAACGTAATTAGCTAGCAGACACTGAATCTAATAATTTAATTATTAAACAGATGACAAAGTCTAGAATATAATTATCTAATAGACAGTGACACAAACAGGTAACAATATCCTAGTGACACTAAAAACAAGAATTAAAGTATCTACTCCCTGCCGCTTCTTCATCCTGCAACTTTTTTTAAAACTCTCAAGTCCCAAGAAACGCATCATACGTTCAAAGGTTACTGCCCAGAAGCCCAATGAACGCATGATGCGCCGATTTTACGTCTCTCTTGACTACCCCTTGGGCCTGTGAGGCTGAACCCTCTGGGACTCGAAGAGTTAAACTTCTTCAGTTCATCGTTGCTGCCTTCTTCTTCCCATTTATTGCCTAACACAGCATAAGCCTCCAACCCACACAAAGCTGCTCATCTTTTTGAACTGTCCATGAGGTGGCCAACTGCAAGCATAACTCTACCAACATTCACCTCCTGAGACATACCTGGCAGGCTGCAGTGTTACTGTTCGGTCCTTTCTCTAAGGACTTTGATAACAAACGCACTGCCGATTTCTTGATCTGAGGGGTTACTGCTGGCTTTTGTTTTGGCTGGATCAGCCTGGAAGCGAGTGTTAACTCTTCTAAAGTCCCCACCTGTAGATTTTCTTGAACATTATCAAAGTCTAACCTGCGTAAAATTAACAAATGAGATGCCTGAGAAAAGCCGCCAACTTAACCATCTGAGACAAAGTTAGAAATAATATTGCACAGCTTGTAAGAACAGCATCATGCAGACAATTCACTGAGAAACTGAAGATCAAATGGTTTTGTCATTTAGTAAGAATACAGCCAGAACACCTTTCAATGCAGGTGCTAAACAGGAAAAGATCTGAAGTGAAAGCAAGAGGCTGTCCTAGGAGAACTTGGATTGATATCATTAAAGAGCTTCTACATGGACACGGAATAACAGTAGCCACTGATGCACATCAGGTGATGGATCACAAACTGTTCCTCCCCACAACACTTAACTCTTTGAGTCCCCAGGAACGCATCATACGTTCATAGGTTCCTACCTAGAAGCCCAAAAAACTCATGATGCACTGATTTTATTACTTTCTTTACTACCCCCTGGGCCTGTGATGCTAAACCCTCTGGGACTCAAAGAGTTAACAGCAGAAGTGGAAATTGATGATGATGCCTGTAGATTTTGAATGCATGAACAGCTGGCTGGCAGGCTAGCGTACTAACCGCTGTAAACTGGAAAGTTATGGTTGTTGATCCACCTCCAGACTTCAGTCTTGTTCCAGAACCTGAGTTTTATGTGCACATCTGTTTTACATATCTGGCTTTTCTGTATGCAAACTGTTGGTCCCTTGCCTCTCAGGCAGATGCACTTTGACGATGATGAAGGATGCCCAACGAGGCGAGTCTCATGACATGCTTGTTGGGGAGGCAATGTGTCTATTCTTGTTTTTCCCACAATGGAGAGCTGAACCCACACGGGCACTAGAGCGGGCATGAAGTGGACCCCATCACCCACCGAGGGATGACTGATCACCATTATTATTGATAGTGATGATTATTCCACCCAGGGCCTTTTTATCTGGTGGTATGCAACAGTGTGCAGTACCAGCACTTTCTTTTATGCATAATTTTTATTTCAAGGAGGAGGTAACAGATACTTTGCAGTGAAAGCAAGTTATTTGTGTATCTTTTACAGGATATTGCAGAAACAACTCCAGCATCTTTTTGCTGTTGTGGTTTTTCTAGTCAAACTTTATGTTCAGTAGTTTGCCACTGCTTACTGAACAGTCAGCTCTCAGCACCACTGTTGAAACCAGCGCAAGGCGCAAGGCCCGCAGCAGGGATCAAACCTGGCATCCCAGCATTATGCAGTAGAATACAGGCACCTTTTTTTTGAGACACTATGTGGTGAGTACCGGCACCTTTTTTCTTCTTCTTGGCTCATGGTATTCTAAGAATTTTTCTGCTACATTTAAATTCAAAAGCTCCGATTGTTTTCTTCAATGACTAACAGTGTATGATTCACATCCACAACTTATGGAAAATATATATGATCTCAAAATGTTTACTATAACTCACTTGCAGGTGCTGCGTCAGGTTCTTTATGCTTTTAAATCTCTGCATTGCTAAAACAAGTCTTCTTCTGACTTATTGTTTTCTTCTTCAAATTATTTCAATTTATAAAGGGGAAAAAAAACTATGTTCAGACTAGTGTGAAGCGGGAAATGAAATAACAGAATCCACTTCATAATATTCTGAATTTTAAATGACAATAGAAAAAACAGCATACCAATAATGTTTGAGCTGCAAGTTTCAGTGCCAAATCTCTGGGCAATCCCATTTTTACACCACCATCTGCCAGGGATTCAATAGCCACAAAAGCCTAAGAAAAGGAATATGAATAAATTACCTATGTCCAATCACTGCACAAATTTAAACAGAAAATTAAATAAAAACATTCTAGCAACTTTTCTTCAAAACCTAATTAATGGTTAAACCATAATTGATTAATGTGATTGACAGAAATAGGTTAGTTGTATATTTTTTTACAAGACAGTGTAAACCAACCCCAGCATTTATTGGTTGTTTGTAGTTTTACTAGACAATTCAGTAGTTTGCCTTTGTCCTGAACAACTGACACTCACACCACTGTCAAATTAAATGTAAAGTAGACTGCTGCAAACTGCATGCAGCTAAATATAACTGGGCATGCTAGAATTATGAAACAGCTTTGAAGAGGTTAGGCAAAGACACTGACAAGGTAACATTCAAGGCAGCAGAAATGTTTACCACCCTCTTAAAAGACTTTGAAATGTGCCACATCTTTAAGAATGACACAGAAGTATTTACCAACCTCTTAAATTAAGTGACTGTTAAATGTATCACATCTTTAAGAATGACATGGAAATATTTACCCACCTCTTAATTTAAGTGACTGTGAAGTGTATGACATCTTTAAGAATGACATAGAAATGTTTATCACCCTCTTTAGTGACTGTTAAGTGTATCACATCTTTAAGAATGACATATAAATGTTTACCACCCCCTTAAGTGACTGTTAAGTGTATCACATCTTTCAGAATGACATAGAAATGTTTACCACCCCCTTAAGTGACTGTTAAGTGTATCACATCTTTAAGAATGACATATAAATGTTTACCACCCCCTTAAGTGACTGTTAAGTGTATCACATCTTTAAGAATGACATAGAAATGTTTACCACCCCCTTAAGTGACTGTTAAGTGTATCACATCTTTAAGAATGACATAGAAATGTTTACCACCCCCTTAAGTGACTGTTAAGTGTATCACATCTTTAAGAATGACATACAAATGTTTACTACCCTCTCAAGTGACTGTTAAATGTATCACATCTTTAAGAATGACATAGACATGTTTACTACCCTCTCAAGTGACTGTTAAATGTATCACATCTTTAAGAATGACATAGAAATAGTTACCACCCTCTTTAGTCACTGTTAAGTGTTACACATCTTTAGGAATGACACAGAAATAGTTACCACCCTCTTTAGTCACTGTAAAGTGTTACAAATCTTTAGGAATAACACAGAAATAGTTACCACCCTCTTTAGTCACTGTTAAGTGTTACACATCTTTAATTAAGAATGACACAGAAATAGTTACCACCCCCTTAAGTGACTGTAAAATGTATTTCATCTAAGTTATATAGTCACACCATATCGAGTCAGATGTGCAGGACTTACTATTCTCTGAATCAGCAGTTCACAATATAATCATGCCCTAAGAAGAAGACATATGTTTACATAATGTGTACTCACATAAGCAGGTCCACTTCCGCTAAGCCCAGTCACTGCATCCAGCAAAGCTTCTGAGCTCTCCTCACAGATGCCAATGGTACTCAGCAAGCTCCGGACAACCTTCACATCACTCTTCAGGGCATGACTTCCTGGGGCCATGACTGATGCCCCAGCTTGGACTAGTGCTGGAGTGTTGGGCATAACTCGAACAACATGGGTACCTTGTGGCAGAGACTTGGGTGAAATAAAACACAGTAGGAGAAATGAAGGGAAATCCTTGATAAATGTTTTGGTAAGATACAAAATTATCAAGATTTCATATCTGTTTGGTCGTAGATTTAGGTCCTGATGGAGCAGAATTGTTTCCACTTATGACTTTGGCTCGTAGGTAGCCTAAAATGGGTACCAGATAAAGTACTGGGAAGTAAAGATGGCCGGCCTAATGTTGACCAAATAACCCACCGTGTACCAGCTGGTCTATAGCAGGGCTATTTAACTGGCGGCCTGCGGTGACCTAGCCAGTGGCCCCTACATTGTTGTCTCCTGTATTGTATTAATGATATTTTTATGCTAGGGTTTGGACTTTTGGTCTTTGGGGGCTTCCCATTTTCAAAATGTTGATCCCTGAGTAAATTTAGTTGAATAGCCTTGGTCTATAAAATATAGGTCTAGCCCTATACGCCTCAAAGTGTGGAAACGAGCCCTTTACTTTTTTCCTAACATTTCTGTTTTGTAAATTTTCTGTTTAGTTCTAAATGTATTGTGAAGGAGGGTCTCTAATTATAACCGTTTTAATGGCTGAACAATAATGCAAATAGTGAGACGGATTCACACAAATAGGATACCATGGATCATGTCGCATAGAGGAGAACGATCAGGAAGGAGATGAGGACAACGAAGAAAATGATTACAGATATGTTAAGTGCTAAGCATATGAGAAGAAACAGAACAAGCAACAAAAATCGTTGTGAAAACTCTAGCACATATTATTGATTTGTTTCTTAATGTTGGTTGGTCTTACTATCCCACTCCACATTACTAGGTGCTTGGATTCTCATGCCTCCCTATCATGCCTCTCCATATTGTGTGATCTTCAGCAGCATGTGTCAGGCTGTGTGTTGACACCCCTCTATGCTATGACATGGGGCTGTCAAGAATTGTTTCTTTTTCCACAGATCTTTCCAGTTCACAGAGCCTGCTGAGAAAGGTGGAGGCAGGCATGCTTTGTGTAGAGTGACAAGCATCGTTTCAGAGGTTCCAGGTAGTTAGTGTCGTTTGGATTTTTTCTCCAGGTATGCCTGTGTGTTGGGAAATGAGCAGACAGATGCACTAGCTGGTTCTGCACCATTAGGTGGTCCACTGATATATGACAAGCTTGATGTTGTGATGGCCCTTTGGGAGCAAGTGAACAGTCCGGAAGCACAAATAAATCATTACTGTCTCAGGAGAATGACATTGCGAGGAGTTACCAGGGGATTGGCCGACACTCACACACGCAAGTGAAAGACGAGACTTATGTACAATTAGACAGTTACTGGTGTCATCGGAATTTGAACTCTTCGCTTGCTGCTGAAGATAGGGACGGAGTACTTATGGGAGTGTCCCGAGTGCTGTGATGTCAATTTCTAATTCAACATTCTTTTCAGTGGTCACAATAATTTCCTTCTTTGTACCTCTCTATATCACAATATAAAACTATCATATGGAAAGGTACCAGCACAAAAGAACAGAGAATCTGAGATCTTTTCCTATTAGTCTGACATCATACATGTATCTTATAAAGTCATCTGTCTCTCTATTCCCCCCCCCCCCTTCCCCTTTTCTGGGCTACTACTAAAACTTTGAACACTTATGCAACGTCAAGAATTGTGACCTTGATAGGAAAACTAAAAGGCAAATCCCAGATACCTTGTTCAACCTCCAAAGAAATTGAAATTAGGGCACCAATAACAGGTTCACCAAATATTACCCTGATGTACCCTTGCCATAATCCACAAATCATACCCCTCTTCCTGTACAGTAGCCTCTTCCTGCATCAGACATGACACAGAATCTCTACTATCTAGATCTGTAATGGATATTTCTGTGAGATACTTGAGATAAGTGATTTTTCTGAGGAGATGGTCTGAGGAGAATTGTGCTACTGGGAGTTACCAGGGGATCTAGCCACCGCTCAACACTCAAGGGAAGGGTGAGACAGATGTACAATCAGACAGTTTACTGGTACCATCAGAACTGGAACTCTTCGTTTGCTGCTGAAAATGGGGACTGAGCGCAAGTGAAAGTGTCCCGAATGCTATGATGTTGATTCCTGATTCAACATTCAACTAAAAGTAAAGGATCTTTTTCCATGCCTTCATGCATATTGGGCATATAGGGCTAGACCTATATTTTACAGACCTGTAACTGTATCACTGTCCATATGCTGATAAAGGTCTTCTAGCTGTAACATCCATTTGCAATTGTGATACTGTAAAGCTGACTAGTTCTACTTTTCTTCTGGATGTTTATCTTTTCATGGCATGCAATTACAGGTTCTTCTTCTTATAGTCCATGCCATATGGTATTAGTAGTAGTAATGTCTATCCACAATCTTCTATCTCGTGTACTTTCAATCAGTTCTGAAGCAGATGATCTTGCATACCATGATGTAAAACTGTCCAGCATTCTCTCTCTATCTCTGTCTCCTTCTGCCTCTTTTGCTCTCTAATTTCCTGATGTATTTTCCTTCTCATGACATGACCAAACAATGTTGATTGTCGCTCTCTCATGTGGGCTGTCAGTTCTCTTCACCAGTAAGGGTTCTCAGGATATTTCTTATTGGGTCATAGGGAGTCAAGCTGACATCAAGCAGCAGAATCAAGTGGTATTTTACATAAGAAATTGAAAAAGAGCAAACACATGTACCTGTTCAATTGCTCGGATGGTTATTCCAGCAGCAATGGAAACGAACAGATGTCTTTGTGTCTGAACCACTGGCGCCACCTCTTGCAGAATCACTTTAACAACGTGTGGTTTCACTGAAATCACTACTATATCACTGTTCAACACCAGCTCAAGGTTGTCATGTGTTGTCCTCACGCCAGTCTCCTTAAAACAAAACAAACATAACAGTAATAACAGTGATGCAATTTCTGGTAGCTCTCCACCCTAATTTCCTTAAAATAAAATAAAATTCTGCAGTAATAAAAGTATCAATTCCTGGTTGCTCCCATCCAAATTTTCTAAGCATTTTATACTGGGCAGCTCATGCAGTAGCTATGCACGTTATGATTTTCTCATTTGTACCACCGATAGTAAATCTCCATCCAGTACCCTAGATCAAACCTGGGTTTTCTGTATGAAAGTTCAGCGCTCTAAAACAATTTACTAACATACAGAAAGAAAAGACCCACTCCTTTAACATTTCTGTGATTAACAGTGATGTGATTTTTTTTTTTTTTTTAGAAAGTTGATGAGAACATCAAGGAGAGGCAATAGCATTTCTCGGGGGAGGGGAAATACAACACATAAATAAACAATTCACATGGTAAGGGAGGAGCCGCCATGGTGTAGCAGCTAGATGCTCGCCTACAGACCCGAAGATCATGGATTCCAGTCCTGACAGAGTCAGAATTTTTTTCAAAAATAACCTTGTCTTCCGAGTCGACCCAGGCCTGAAATGGGTTTTGGGTAAAGCCTTGGGAAGTAAAGGCGGCTGGCATCAGTTGGCCACATCACATATACCGATTGGTCTAAAAATATAAGTCTAGCACTATAAAGAGGGAATTAAATGGTATGATAGAATAACTAATGTAGAACTTTGGGAGAGAACTAAACAGGCTCCAGTGAACCAAGAGGTGAGGAAAAGACGCTGGCGTTGGATAGGACACACACTGAGAAAACAGGAGAACAGCATAACTAGAATGTCTTTGCATTGGAACCCACAAGGGCATAGGAATAAAGGAAGGCCAAACAACACATGGAGAAGAGAGCTGGAGAATGAAGTTACAAAGATAGGGAGGACATGGGGAGAGCTCCATAAAATGGCGAATGATAGAACGACTTGGCGTGAGTTGGTTTAGGGCCTATGCTCCATTGGGGGATAGGAAGGCAGAAGAAGAAGAAGAAGAAGAAGAAGCACTTTAAACCCAATCCGCCTGAAGGAGTGAAAAAGGTTGTTTTACTTTAGTTTGAGGGAAGCTTGAAAAAATGAGATTGAGCCATATAATGACAATGAGACATCTGGACAATGAGAAGGAAAATAATGAATGAGCCTTACTTTCAAAAGGTATGCTGAGAGTGGTGACATACTCAGTCCAGCATCACGATGTGGAAGACCACTTGTATTAGAAATGACTGGTAGTACATGAAAAGGAAGTCTATGGGCACATATACTTACCAACACCACAATACTGACCTATAAGCAGAGGAGGAAGAAGAAGACTCACCCGCAACTGTTCCAGCATCACATCCGATGTGTCACTAGCAATGATCTGTCCCGCAGTCACCAGACCTGAACGGATGGAAAAAAGTTAAATCAAGAAAGTTGACACAGATTCTTTACCTGTTTAAAGATATGTTATATGTTTTTCACAGTTGAGGACTTTGCACGTTGGGCATTCCCATGCATGCTCAGTCCTCCGATGCAGCAGCCACTCCTATGTATCTCTAATGATTGTTTCCATGTTAGTTGCAGGAACAAGGCATTGCAGAACCAACCCTAAAATTAATTACTGAGGGGGGGGGGGGGGGGGGGGGGGGGGGGGGGGAGGTGTTGAATGGGGGTTTTTTCACGCCAATTTTACATTCAGTAGTTTGCCAGTGCCCCCTGAACTGTCAGCTCTCGGTACCACTGTCGAAGCCATCGCAAGCCAAAACGTCCGCAGCTGGGATTGAACCCCGCACCCCAGCATTAAAAAGCTGGTATGCAACTCCTAAGCCACAGACGCTGCCTAATCACTATGAGAAACTGGTTATTAGTGTTCTCCTGTCGTTACCTGGAAGGCAGCATGGTCGTGCTTCACCAAGCTTAACTCGCAGGTCACGCAATCGTGTTAGCTTCAGAGATTCAACATTACCCCCCTAACCTATTCCGCGTTCAGTAGGTCATGCGGCCAACACCAAGCGGCCGCCTTTATTTCCAATGAAATTTTCTTGTATCCATTTTCTTCTTCTTCAGCATTCCGAGCCCTTAAGGTTCATTGTTGCAGATATCGCCCGCCCCCATTTATCTCTCTGGTTGGCCTTTTCTTCCCAGTTGGTGACACAGGTCTGTCTGGACATTATCTCTCCATTTTCTTCTTGGTCTGCCTCGTGGTCTACGACCATTCATGTCCCTTGTGAATACAGTTTTTAATTCTCTGTCATCTGACATTCTTTCAATATGCCCCAACCATTTCAGTCTAATAGCTCTCACGAGGCCAGTGATCAGTGGAGATTTAAACAGATTATGAATTTCGTCATTGCTTCTCACTCTCCCTTGCCCCCTGTTTGCATCTTTGATGGGTCCAAAGATTTGTCGTAAGACTGTTGTTTTCGAAAACCTGTAATAAGGTTTCATCTCTTTTAGTTGTGCTCCAAGTTTCAGAGCCATATATATATATATATATATATATATATATATATATATATATATATATATATATATATATATATATATATATATATATATATATATAGAGAGAGAGAGAGAGAGAGAGAGAGAGAGAGAGAGTGAGGGGGGGGGGGGGGTGGTGGGGCAAAGACTAAAAAAAAATGTGTTGTTATTCATTGATCTTAAAGATTGACGTCGATTGATACTGCGGCAGTACATGACCTAGGATGTATTTTGCGTGCAACAGACACGCTGTGTGTGCAACTGAACTGTGGTCACCGCAATATTTGTCATCGATTTCAGACATCATCTTGTAGAAGATCCTGCAACAGCTGCTACACGGGAGTAAAGTTTTGGTCATGTATTTCTCACAGGTAAGTTTCAAGCTGGCGGTGATGGGGAGAGATGAGAGAGAGAGAGAGAGAGAGAGAGAGAGAGAGAGAGAGGTGGGGGAAGGAGAACGAGAATCATAAAGCGATCATGAGAAACAACGGCAGAGAGAGAGAGAGAGAGAGAGAGAGAGACAGTCGGAAAGCAGCAGCAAAAGCCAGAGGTCAGAGAGTAGCAGAAACATATGAAGAGTCAGAAAGTAGCAAAGAAACAGAGATTAGAAGAGAGTTAGCGAGAATAGAGAGGATATCGTGAGTCAGGTCGCGGCAACGAGAGAGAATCCGAGTAGAGTCACAGAATAATGCATGAGAGTCAGACATAGATAGATAGATAGACAGACAGACAGACAGACAGACAGACAGACAGACAGACAGACAGACAGACAGACAGACAGACAGACAGATAGGCAGGCAGGCAGGCAGGCAGAGATAGATAGATAGATAGATAGATAGGTAGATAGATAGATAGATAGATAGATAGATAGATAGATAGATAGATAGACAGACAGACAGACAGACAGACAGACAGACAGACAGACAGACAGACAGACAGACAGACAGACAGACAGACAGACAGACAGACAGATAGATAGATAGATAGATAGATAGATAGATAGATAGATAGATAGATAGATAGATAGATAGATAGATAGATAGATAGATAGATAGATAGATAGATAGATAGATAGGTAGGTAGGTAGGTAGAGAGAGAGAGAGAGAGAGAGAGAGAGAGAGAGAGAGAGAGAGAGAGAGAGAGTTGTAGAGACATAGAAAGTCGGACAAACATACAGAATCAGAAGAGCGGCTCTGGTTTAGAAGCTAGTGAATGCGTTAATAATTTCCTGACCCAGGAGTATTTGGGTTCGATTCCTGGGGTAGACGGTTTTTTTTAAAAATCAGTTTTTAGGTCAGTAGTATGCACCGTTGAAGAGACTGGAGCTTCACCGCCTAATATTCCCAAAGACAACAGTGGTACGCCGTAGCCAACCTTCATTGTAGAGACGGCAGATAATAATTAGTAGTCAGAAAGTAGCAGAGAAACAGAGAGGGGGAGAGAGTCCGAGGAGCAGAGATAGCCTGGGACGAACAGTGGAAAAAAAAAAAAACATCCGAGCTACGGTAAAAGAAGACCAATTAAAATTAAACAACGAGATTGAAGCGCCCAAACCTAGGCTGCGACTCGGACGTCAAAGTAGCCAACAGCCAAGTTGAAAGCAGTCCTAACAAACCACAGACACCTTCTCCACCCCACCCCCAAGCCCAGGTACATCCATTGGGGAAACAAGCTAGAGGACAAGAAGATACAGAAGAGGCCGGCGTAGTCCTTATCAGGATTATGCCCTATCAGGACAATTCTGAAAGTAGCATCAGACAGACCTTCACACAGCAAACGGAAGAGAAGCAGACACTTGTGAGCTCCGTCAGACACTGATAGCGACTTTTGAAGAAAACACCCGCTGGAAGATCAGCCAAATTAACAGCAACAATCAAGCAGACCCCCCCCCCCCCCCCCCCCCCCAAAAAAAAAAATATCACTGAACAGCCCACTTATAACCTGCAAATACAGGTCGGAACAGGGTCAGCTCACAGAGAAACTAAATTCCCAACTTACTTTCCTGGCAGCCACTGTGGTGTGTCGGCTACACCAGTGTTTACTAATCTATCTTGTGTGTATGTGTGTGTGTGCCATACCCCACATAAGCCTTTCTAAAAATGGTATACCCCCCCCCCCCCCCCGCCTTTTCCCCCCTTTGCACTCTCCTTGCTACGCGTGTGGGCACATCACAAAATTTATCACGTTAAAAACAACAGGCCGGCGCCAGTGGTTCATGTGCATGTGCTATGTACAGTTAGGGATTACAGTTTAATTTGTCAGCTAAGTATCTCTGTTGTATTTGTGTCTGTTGATAAAGACTTTTGTCTAAACAGTATCTGCTGACTAAAAGTTTTGTCGAAACAGAATCTGTCGACACAAGCAGACATGCATAGGCATGGGCTGCCTATGTCGAAACAGAATCGCTGTTCTATTTGTTGACAAATACTTTTGTTGAAACAGTATGCCTGTTGTATTTGTATCTGTTGATGAAGACTTTTGTCTAAACGTTTGCCCCTCCTTTCAATTTAGCACGTTTATTTGGTGAAAAGAAAGGCAACACACAAATTCATACGCCTCCCACCGGAAAAGAGAAATGTGTCTATTTCTAAGTATTCCTGTTACATTGTTGCTCACTGATGAAGAATTTTGTCGAAACGTTCACATGCATCTACCTATGCCGCTTCTTTCGTTGAACTGTCTAGTTATAAATAATATTATTTCAGTTATAAGAATGAGAGCACACTACTACGGCTCACACTAAGTAGATGAGATTTGTCTCAGTATTTGTCTTAGAATTCCTGTTGTATTGTTGCTAACCACCCATAAGGACTTCCGTCGAAACGTTACAACGTATGTGCGTTGGCCACTTTTTCGTTGAGCTTCACTAGTTTATATACACTGTTAACTTTCTCATTTCAGTTATCACACATACAACACATCGATTCTTGTACTTACCGGACGAGAGAAATCCTTTGGCCATAGCTTGGGCCATACGCCCGCAGCCGATAAATCCAATCTTCGTCTGAGAGTTCAAAAGATTCTTGTAACCATCTTCAATATTTCCTGCAGTTCCTTCTGTAGCCATCGTTGTACACAATAGAGATGCCCTGTATGTTTTGTTGTATGAAGAACGTTGGAAGACAGCTCGGCGTGTACGCGACAACGGTTTTGGCCAGTGTTGCCACTTTTCTTTGACTAAAAACATCCAAAACGGAGTCAAAAAATATCTAATAACATCAAAATTTTTGTGGAAAACATCTAGAAAATACATCCAAATGGAAAGAGTCACAAATTACATAGCAATTGATATGACTTACCCACGGCCATCTTTAGGCTAAAGATGGGCGTGGACTTACCCTATAGAATCATGTCCTAATCTTTACTGAAGTCTGCCTCACAAGATCCACAGGATAAACTTAGCTTGGATGATGAAGTTGAAGCTTCAGATCCAAAATGACTCTGGTATGCGTTAGCTGTTCCAATTTCTTTCAATACTCAATCAGGGAGCTGATAAGTGGAACAGCCTTTTCCTACTCTATCAGGCCGAATTTTATTGTCAAGACAGCATTTAGGAGGTCAAATTTCATCCTGTTTCTTAGGTTAGATTTTATAAATTTACTCCAAATAAAAAAAAACACCTAGAAAACATCTACCATCTAAATATCAAAAACACAATCTAAATGCAAGGAAAAACATCTAATTCTAGATGTAAAACATCCAAAGTGGCAACACTGGTTTTGTCAGCGTCAGGGAAATCAGCCCAGGTAGATCACAGCAGCGTTTCATTGGTTCATTGATTTGACCTTACAGACCACGCCTGGCTCGGGGTTCAAAGGGCAGGCTTTCCCTTTATCTTTGTTGACATTCTCAATTTTTCGTTTTTCTCTATTAGAACAGGGCAAGACCTTGGACAGGGCCGTCTTAACGCGAGGGACCTTTGGACCCTTTCCTGGGAGCTGCACCAACATAGGGGCCTAATGCTAATCTGTGTTTTATAGTGTGTCTTGCCATAAATAAAAATATTTTTTGATGTTTAAATTAATTTTATGTCGGGAAAAAACGAAATTATATTTCCCCTTTCTACCTCATGTAGGCGTTTGTGGCTTCGAAGTTGCGAACGCGCTTCGTAATGCCGATTTAATCAAGTAACAGAAAGTGTATTGATCGGCACTCATATAAAGAAGTATAAATAGAAAGAAGAACACACTAGACAACATAAAAATCGAAAGCTATAGTTACCGTGCGCTTCGTAAATCGTAATGCCGGGGTGTTGGGTTCGATCCCAGCTGCGGGACTTAGGGATTTTATAGAGTGGAGAATTAGCTGCTTCTTGAATAAAGTTGAAGTCACGCTGTCTTTTGTTGCTCCATGTAAAATATGAAGTAACATTTTTCAAGAATGCTTCTAAATATGCAGGTAAAATATTGACAACATGGCTGGCACACAAAGCAAAAGAATGACACACGTATCCCATGTTGAAAACCAAAGGAACATCATTTGTTAGCATCTTTTGAAATTTACTTTTCTTTCCTATCATAGAAAAGCAATTATCACTTCCGAATCTTATTATATTTCCAATAGGAATGCTTTTCTCATTCCGCAATGACTTTACGGCATCATACAAGCCAACAGCGGTTCCATCTTCAACGACAACACTATCCACCAGAGCGTCCACAACATCTTGTTTGTTGAAATCAAAATATCGGCTATCCTCCGAATTACCTTCCCAAATTATCGAGGTTAAGAAAATACCCTAATTCATTCATTCAGTAGCATGTCCCTCGCGGAACCTCGCTGCCATAACAACCCTCCGGAAAAACTTCCTATCATGAGCAAGATGTCCTGCGTCTGATACACCCATCTGGAGATCATCTGCCACATCCTACACCCATCTTCTCCTTGGCCTTCCTCTTCCTCTCTTCCCAGGCATGTACCCCTCCATTATTGTTCTCTCTAGACTTCCATGACGTTTCAAGTGACCAAAATATTTCAATTTTCTTTGTTTTATTGTCTTTACTAGCCAACCCTCTTCAATATTCAGCTCTTGAAGTATGGATGCATTTGTAAAAATAAATAATACCCTAATAGGGCCTCAATTATAGGTAAATTTCGGACTTCTTTCCGGCGAATATACCACATACCGCGGGAAACACTCCTCTGAATAAAGGTCCCAAATCATCGAGGGTGTCAACAGCTCCGATACTGAGTGCTAGGTTTAACTTCTCCTCTGGTTCCTAGGTTAAACTTCTCTCCTGGTTCCTAGGTTTAACTTCTCCTCTGGGTCCTAGGTTTAACTTCTCTCCTGGGTCATAGGTTTAACTTCTCCTCTGGGTCCTAGGTTTAACTTCTCTCCTGGTTCCTAGGTTTAACTTCTCCTCTGGGTCCTAGGTTTAACTTCTCCTCTGTTTCCTAGGTTTAACTTCTGTCCTGGTTCCTAGGTTTAACTTCTCCTCTGGGTCCTAGGTTTAACTTCTCCTCTGGGTCATAGGTTTAACTTCTCCTCTGGGTCCTAGGTTTAACTTCTCCTCTGGGTCCTAGGTTTAACTTCTCCTCTGGGTCCTAGATTTAGGGTTAGGGCAAGGAGTATTGCAATTACTACACCGACACCAGAATCTGTCACAACAGTGGAACCGCGACACTATCGATCGAAGGGTTATGGATGGAACTTCGCGGACGTGATGTTACCACGGCGGCACTAGTCGCACGTTGTTTACTGACTATTTAGCGCGGTTTCTTGGCGGCACATTCACAAGCATTGAGTCCCTGTTAGGGTATTTTCTTAGCCTCGATAATTTGGGACCGTAATTCGGAGGATGCCGCGACCGTGGCTTAGGCGTTGCGAGTCCGACTCGTAATCCCAGTGCCTATTGGTCTGCAAGAAATATGAGACGCTCTTCCCATATATCCGATGCGCCTAAGGCGTGAAAAGGGATCTTTACTTTACTTACTTCCTATTCTGAGAATAGTCAAAATATTGAACTACTACTGCTAAGTGAGTGACTGAGATGTCTGTGCTTTCCTCAATTTAAAAAAAAAAAAAACGTTTGCTTCTTACAAATCTCAGGCACTGCCTGCTTTTCGTGAAAAGTTGTTTCACTTTGAATAACATAAGACAGTTTCATTCTTTTCATGAATAACTTTTCAGCAATTTTGCTGTCAGGAACTAGCAGTCTGTAGAATAGATCTACACGCACAGCTTAGGTTTTTGAACCAGACCATAGTTCAGAGTTTACAGTAAACACTAAGAAGAAGAATTACACAAAGGACAATACAACCACTTAGGAATTACACAAAGGACAATACAACCACTTAGGAATTACACAAAGGACAATACAACAACTTAGGAATTACACAAAGGACAATACAACAACTTAGGAATTACACAAAGGACAATACAACAACTTAGGAATTACACAAAGGACAATACAACAACTTAGGAATTACACAAAGAACGATACAACACAAGAATTACACAAAGGACAATACAACAACTTAGGAAGCACACAAAGGACAATACAACCACTTAGGAATTACACAAAGGACAATACAACAACTTAGGAATTACACAAAGGACATTACAACAACTTAGGAATTACACAAAGAACGATACAACACAAGAATTACACAAAGGACAATACAACAACTTAGGAAGTACACAAAGGACAATACAACAACTTAGGAATTACACAAAGGACAATACAACAACTTAGGAATTACACAAAGGACAATACAACAACTTAGGAATTACACAAAGGACATTACAACAACTTAGGAAGTACACAAAGGACATTACAACAACTTAGGAATTACACAAAGGACAATACAACAACTTAGGAATTACACAAAGGACATTACAACAACTTAGGAATTACACAAAGAACGATACAACTTAGGAATTACACAAAGGACAATACAACAACTTAGGAATTACACAAAGGACAATACAACCACTTAGGAATTGCACAAAGGACAATACAACAACTTAGGAATTACACAAAGGACAATACAACAACTTAGGAATTACACAAAGGACAATACAATAACTTAGGAATTACACAAAGGACAATACAACAACTTAGGAATTACACAAAGGACAATACAACAACTTAGGAATTACACAAATACAACAACTTAGGGAAAAAAATGAACTCACCAAGATTTCTTCTCATAAAATGCATTATGTATTAAATTTTTTTTTTTTTTGCATTAAAAATTCTTTATTTGTATTTTTTTTAAACAAAAATCATTATTTTTTTTAAAATGTATATATGACAACTATACATATATAGTTATTTTTTACATTTAAAATTCTTTAATTTTTTTTTTAATGAAATTTTTTTCCTTCAAAAGTAAGCACTTGTTATTTTTCTGTTTGTAGTCTGGAGATGTGAACCAGCGTCATTGCACACGGTTATAAACCATAAGTGCTCTGCCACCAGATGACAGACAGATGATAATAATTGTCCGCTTGTGTCGACGTTGTTTGTGGTGTATAGTTGAAAGTTGACAAATTACTTGTGACTTATTTCCGTATCTGTATCTTTTTTCACGTTACTGATCTGAAAAGATATTTTCAACATATTCAAAATGAAATGCACAGAATATGACATTAATAATAATAATAATAATAATAATAATAATAATAATATTAATAATAATAATAATAAAGGTTAAAGTCTAGAGGATCGAGTTTGCTGCACCGTGTTTTATGGCATATGATGCGGTCTGTCCCCACAGAACCGATAGCTGTCTACCGAGAGCATTGCAAAAAGCACGAACTCTGTATGTCTGGTGACAATCCCCCAGGTATCTCCGTAAAAAACATTACACCCTTAAACCTTTGAAGGGTGAGGTAAACGGTCTGATCACTTCGCCACAGCAAACTCCCCAGTTGAGTGCTTGGCGCAAAGCCGTGAGCTGAGGATTTCATTTGGACTGCTTTTCGATTGTGCTCATGTGCATGTGCAACTATTGATCTGTTTTAAATGCTGCTTCTATGGAAAAGGAACTGCACTTCTACTACAGGGCTGTTTAAGTTAGCATTTCTGACAACTACCTTATGTATGCTATAGGGGCCGAGTATCC